TATTTACTATTTTCTATCTGTTCATTAATTATGATGATATTTTCTTCTACATCCTTGAGCACTGCTAAACTATTTGCTTTAAAATTCGAATTCTAATGCCCGTGTGTTCTCAGGTTTGGTGTTTAATAAATAGCTTATCTCTTAAGTATGTAATGTTTTCCAGTTTCTGTATAGTAATTTGGAGTCATATTATAGACATTGTGATTGATACATCATAGAGACACTATATTATTTTGTTTCTCTGAAGATTATTGATTTTTCTGATTTAGAAGATAGTTGATTTTGCAACTTTCAAACTTTTAAGTAAAAGTTTGTGGTAAACACCTCTCAAAATCTCCCTTGAATTCTTACAGCCTTGTCTGGGCTACTTAACAATATTACTATGAACATGTAATTCAGATATCACACAGACATTAGGTGTCATTTTTTATGTGCTTTGTTAGACTCTCTTTCTGTGGCTCTCTTTTTTCTGAGATTCTGCATCCTCCTTCAACAACTTACTTTATAGCTACTATGATTGACTTGAGCTCTGACCTCTCATTTGTTAATTAGAAATATTGCATATTTCTATCTCTATGGCATCCGACGTGGCACTGATTGGAGACTACTCTCAGGGGAAAACATGTAAAATCAGAAAACACACAGTACTGTTTTCCTTCCATGTGTCCACTATACTTGGGCCACTTTCCAATGTCTTCAAGGAATTATTTGCTATATTTTGATCAGCATTTAACATTGTTATCTGTGACAAAACTGGGATGAGATAAACTATTCAGTCATTATAAGAAGTGCAATTTTTGAATGATTTTTAAAAATCAAAATAGAATTTGTTCTTCTGAATAAAACCCTCTGTATCTTCCCATTGTTGTTAGAATAAAATCTAAAGCCTTTTCCTTGGCTTGATTTTCTTCACTTCCAATCTTTCCATTCCTGTTTTATACAACTTTTGTTCTTACTCCAGTCTAGTCTCACTGGAATCTTGTTAATTCCTAGGACATATGAGCTCTTTTCATCTAGACCAGTGGTTCTCAGCCTTCCTAATGCCACGATATATTTTCATTGTTACAGGTTGAGAACCACTGATCTAGAAGACCTTTGCATTTGGTACTCTATTTGCTTGAAATTGTTGGTACCTATTATGTTTCGTGTCTTAGCTTCATCTTCAGAGAGGTCTTCCCTAACCTCTCTTTCTAAAATTAGTGTTCTTATTATAGTAACCTGTTAGTTTGCTTTAGCACACTAATCACTATTTCTAATTATTATACTTAATTTTTTTTACTATCTTTCAATAAATATAATCTCCATGTAGACAGAGATTATGGCTATCTTAACTGCCACTGAATTACCTCATGTTTACTTACTATCTGAAACAGAGTAGGTACTCATGGTTTATTGAATCTATAAAGAATCTTATCTATATTTGAATATTGGCATGCGCATTTTACCTTTGTAGGCAGAGCCTTGTCAGAACAATGACTCTTATTATCTTTATACACTTAGTTATTAAAATTATGCCTCACCCATGTATCACATGTCAGTTTCATAAATGAACAATAAAAATACACAAAACTACCAATTTTGAAGGTGAATAAAACTAACTAGCTATGTCTAATGTCAGCATTTATTCACCTGCACATGAATTTTTGCATATAAAGTTAATATTAAAGTTATAAAAATCTATATTTTTTTTCAGGCATGGTATTGGTCTGTTCAGTTGTGAAATCTATAATCTTTTTAGCAGCATAAAAGAAATAGTTTAGGTTGTGCTTTCTTCGTTAATTATATCATCATGAGAATTTCAAGGCTGGGAAAAATAGGGCAAATTCTTTTATCCTTCAGATAAGAGTAGATAAATGAAGAGCTGAAATAGCTTAGGTGAAAGCAATGATTTTACAGGTTAATGCAATGGAAGAAGGTAGATGTGAAAACTGATGAACGTTTCTTCAAGGCCAATGATTTCTTTACTCTGCCATCCAGGCAAAGTAAAAGCCCCAAGACAAACATATAAAACTGATCTTAATTTTAAAAATCATGCCATAAGGTAGTTTTGTTTTAATAAAATGATTATAGGACCTAAGATGCTTAAAATAAATTTTAAGTTCTATCTTGGGGTGTGTTTTTCTTGCCTGTGAATTCTTTACCAACATTTTTTACATCTGAAACAGTGCGATTCTCTTTGTAATTTTACAGAAATTTGGCTGTTTGTCATATTAATTTATCAAATGTTTTAGAGAATTAGAGATGGCTTGTCCAAGGTCACTCCGTGAGCCAGGAATGAACTCAGGCCTAAGAATTACCCTATTTTCTCTCTGCCATGTCAAAAACCCAAAGGCCTAATGGGGTCAGAAAGATAGCATCAAGGAGTAAACAGATTAGGCAAAGAAATATTTTTAACTTCGGCAGAGAAATTTCTCTTGCAACTCACAATACTCTAAGGCTGAATTCCTTATTTCCCCCAGCAAAGGAGTGGGCACAGAAAAATACATCTCTTACCAATAGAATATTAGAGCAGTGCTGATGATAAATTGATAAAATCTGTTATCTGTTGCTGAGGAATGGCAGGAAGCAGTGAGGCCTTTCATAGACTGGAGAGCACAGCCCTGTCGGGAGGGATCCATCATCACTCAGCCCCACCTGCTGTGGGGAAATATGGGTGGCTCAGTCTTTTATACTCTAAGGTTCTTCAAAAGAAACAAGAATCTAAACTTTTTAAGCAGAATCTCTCAATTTTAAAATATCGGCTTATTTTCTAAAACATTATATATTTCAAATAAAGTACATCTGTAGGCCAGACACCACCTGGTGCTACCCGGTTAGGGTCTCTGTGTTATGCTATTTTGCACGGGTTTCTCTCCACAGTCCAAATGCAGGAGAACAGTCTTAGAGTTGGACTCTGTGACTCTGTCTATATAGTTCTGAGGCAAAGGCAGTCATTGTTGTGAAATTTCGTTATTTCATTGGAGATAAATAATCACTAATCGGCCACTGTGGCCTTCTCTGTGCTAAATTCACCAGGGAATAGAACTCAGTAGAGAGATCAACCCCAGAAACAACCACTCCTGGGTACTGAAGCGAGGGTTTCCTTACTGGACAAACTGCCCATTCCATGTTAATCAGGGTAGGACTTCACTACCAGATGCCAGGGAAAACAGAAAGTACAGCAGACCATCTGGGATTGTATTGTCTCAACCAGAGTGCCACCTTCTCTTTCCTGATAGATGTTATGAACAGAAAGCCCCTTTATAAGAAGCACTCACCACAGCCTTCTCAATAAAGGGCACTATATTATCCCCATTTTTATAAGAATTGAGGCTCTGAGGGGTTAAGTACCCTCTCTGGGGTTGCACAGAAGATACGTATAGACTGTGTATTTCAACCCAAGTATTTCTATATCCCAAACCAATGTTCTTTCCACTAAGTCACTGTTTTGAAGTGTAAGTTTATTGTTGTTCAGGTATAGTGAGGCCAACAGATCAGGGACAGTTGCCATTGAAGAGACAGTAGTTTGTTGTTCAGTTTCCAGAGGAGAAAACGTGCCACACAATGCAGGAGGCTGAGGGAGTGAGAGGAAATCGAGGGCAAGAAAGGAACAGGCAGGGTAGGATAGGCAGTCTTAGTGTTGATTGGATTGAGTAACTTCGGTGAGATCTGGACAGGGAGAGAGGAGCTGCCTCTTTGTAGTCTGGCATCTGGCCCTGGGGTGCTCAGAGCAGAATAGTGGACCTGAGGGTGAGAGTCTGGTAGAGGAAAGAGGTGGTGGGCAGGTGGGGCTCTGTCGGCAGCAGCTTGCATTTGAAATAAGGCTCACTCCCTGGTGAGTTATTCACTGTCTCTGGGAAGTAGCATCAGAACTGTAGAAAATGAAAAGACATGGTTAATACAACTACTACATTCCCTTTTCCTCAAACCAGATTTCAGAGTAACCCAAATGAAAATAAATGAATGAAAATAAATCCATCAATATGGTTGTTGTAGAGTCCTAGAGACTCAGGCAAACATACAGAAAACACACATCTTAGGTTCAGGAACTCAAGCATGGTGCTGGATGTTTTTAGCAAGCTGAGTAACACTGTGGGGAAACTATTCTGTTCCTGATATATATTCCAGACTATTTTGTTTAAAGCCACCAAGTGGATTAAGGAATAAAATTTTGGACACGGGATTTCTGATGAGAAAATGAAGCTGTGCAGAGCTCAGGCATCGCTGCCCATGAGAACTGTGTTTCCCGCATGACAACTTTTTGGTCAAGGGAGGTCCTGTTGACAGCTCTGGGGCACCTCATAGTGTTTAGTTAAACTGAGCCTCCCCCATCTTAGTCTCCATTAGTAAAACATAGTGAGTAATTCAAGTTTTGACATTGCCCAGGGGTGACAGCCTGGATCAGGAGGGGAAATGATGTGATCCAGAGAAGGTTAGTGCTTTTAATACCCAGACCCCCCACCATTTAACTTGAGTTACCCTTTCTTCCTTTCTTCCTCACTTCTCATTCTTAGGCCTGCTGTCTACAAGTTGAGCCTAAGGAGTTTATTTCCTATTGCCCTTCTCTCTAAACTTCTTTATTTTATCTTATTTATCTTACTTTATTTATTCATTTAGAGACCAAGTCTCGCTCTGTCACCCTGGGTAGAGTGCTGTGGCGTCGTAGCTCGCAACATCTCCAAGAGTTTTGGGCTCAAGAGATCCTCCTGCCTCAGCCTCTACAGTAGCTGGAACTATAGGCGCCCACCACAATGCCTGGGCAGTTTTAGAGACTGGGTCTCCCTCTTGGTCAGTCTGGTCTCGCACTTGTGAGCTCAAGCAATCCACCGCCTTGGCCTCCTATAGGCCTGAGCTACTGCACCCCATTAAAGTTCTTTGTTTTATATATCCAAGAGGTTAGCTCTTAGTTAATCAAAGCTATGATAAATTTCTTTTAGCAGAGACCCTTTTGCTGAATTAACATTTTGATGTTCTTGGCTCCTCCGTGGACAAAAGTTGAAATACTCTTTCTTGTTTTTCAGATAGACCACATGGTACAGGGCCATGCTGCCTTCTCTGAACTCCAAGCCAAGGCCACAGCCAGGTAGCTGCTGCCCCGATGCTGCCCCGCTACTGCTTTCCTTGTGTGACTGTGCTGAGAGCGTTCACTTCAGGGGCTTGTATGATTTCAGATCCTACAGACAACAAAAATGCCTGTTAGCATTTGCTGTAAGATAGTCACCCGTATAGTCTAGAACATACATGCATTAACTTTTTAAATCATCTAAGAAAACTCAGAGAAGCTAAAGATCCCACAGGACTACACCCTGGATCCACAGATGAGAAACTCTGATGTAGAAGGCCAGCATGGATTCTGGAGTCAAAATTTGTAGATTCACATCCCAGGTCTGCTTGGTACTAGCTATGTAACTTTGAGCAGGTAACGGAGTTTCTTTAAACCTGCCTCTTCATCTGTAAAATTGAGGATAATAACCAATTTCCAGGATAAAATGAAGAAAGCTGAAGGCAAAGGAGTATTTATAGTGTAGTGAAACATATGAAAAGGAAAAAACATTTCCTTTTGTGTGAAAGGAAAAAGAGAAAAGAAAACATGTGTATCTATTCATTTGTGCAAAGGAAATATTGGAGGGCTAAACTAGAAACGAATGAGGTTGGTTCCAATAGATGGTTAGGAATGAGGAGGAAAGAATGCAGGAAGAGGAACAGGGTAGCAGGAGGGAACGGCATTTCTCTGAGTATACTTTTTATATAACTGTAACACTTAGAACCATGGTGACAATTCCAATCTGCCTCAAATAAACAGAAGATATATAGCCAGAATATGTGTGTATGCTGGGGTGGGCAAAATAAAATGCAACTAGTAAAAAATGAACCTATTGTATTACAAATGAATAAGATAACCACACTAAAGGGGGTTTGGGAAAGAAAGGAATCAAGCTAAGTAAGTTCAGGAAAGAATATTTTGACAGCTGGGAGAATTTGATTGCCATATGCAGAAGAATGAAACTGGACCCCTATCTCTCACCATATACAGAAATCAACTCAAGATGAATTAAAGACTTAAGTAAAACCTGAAACTGTGAAAATACTAGAAGATAACCCAGGGAAAATTCTTCTGGACATTTTCCCTGGCAAAGAATTTATGACTAAAACCTCAAAAGCACAGGCAACAAAAACAGTGGAACTTGGGGGGTAGGCAGTAAGGTGGGGAGGAGTAAAAACCTACCAGACAGGTACCGTGAACACTGTCGGGGTCTGGGGCACAGTAATGGTCCTGACTCAAGCGCTAGAAAAGCTATCCATGTAACAGAAACATTTGTACCCTCCTAATATTTTGAAATAATAACAATAGGACTTAATTAAACTAAAAAAGCTTCTGCACAGCGAAAGAAATAATCAAAAGAGTGAATAAACAACCTGCAGAATGGAAGAAAATATTTTTAAACTATTTATCTGACAAGGGACTCATACCCAGAATATACAAGAACGCAAACAACTCAACAACAGCAAAGGACATAAATAGACATGTTCCCAAAGGAGACATGATTTCATATACAAACAGGCACATGAAAAAATGGTCAGCATCGCTAATCAACAGAGAAATGCAAATTAACAGAACTGTGAGATACTATCCCACCCAATCATGGCTATTATTAAAAAGACCAAAAGATATAAGATGTTGGCAAAGATATAGAGAAGTAGGAACTCTTACACACTTTCAGTGGGAATATAATTAAATATGGCTTCATGGAGAACAGTACGGTGCAGCTCAGCTGCTAGGGCACCAGCCACATACACCGGAGCTGGTGGGTTCAAACCCAGCCCTGACCTGCCAAACAACGACAACTACAGCAAAAAAAATAGCTGGGCATTGTGGCAGGTGCCTGTAGTCCCAGCTACTTGGGAGGCTGAGGCAAGAGAATCACTGAAGCCCAAGAGTTGGAGGTTGCTGTGAGGTATGATGCCATGGCACTCCACCAAGGGCAACATAGTGAAATTCTGTCTCAACCAAAAAAAAAAAAAAGAAAGAAAGAAAGAAAACAGTATGGTGATTTCTTCAAGAACTGAAAATAGAATTACCCTTTGATTCAGCAATCCTTTCCTGGGTAGCTATGCAAAGGGAAAAAAATCAACATATTAAAAAGTCACCTGCACTCATATGGTGATGCTGATACTGTTCGCAATGGCACACAGGTGGAATCAACCCGAGTGTCCATCAGTGGCTGATTGCATAAAGAAAATGTGACATATTTACACAATGGAATCCTACTCAGCCATATACAAGAATGAAATCCTGTCTTTACAGCAGCATGGATGGACCTGGAGGTCATCATCTTAAGGGAATCAAGCCAGAAACAGACAGACATATGTCACATGTTCTCACTCATTGGATGGGTGAGGGGCTCCAAGGAGGGTGGATGGAGAGAGATACTTAATGGGTGCAATGTCTTGACCACTGTGTGATCTACACATGTAACAAACCTGCATAAATCCACACAAATGAAAAATAAAAAGAAAAATATTTTGATGGTATACCATATGGCTAAAGGTAAAAATAACTACATGAAATTTTGTACGCTAATTGGTAAGTTTGTTTTTTATAAGCATGTGGCTTAGCTATACTCAAAACCCTTTATGTATATACTACATTTAAGCAGAGCTATCTGAACATGCGAACTTAAAAAGTCTGGGAATCTATCAAATTCCCTCCATTAAGCAGTAACCTGATGTCTTAGCCCATAACAAAATGACATAAACTAGGCAACCTATAAACAACTGAATTTTTTTTTTTTCCTTGTTCTTGAGGCTGCTGAGTCCAAAATCGAGGCACTGTTAGGTTCAGTGTCTGTTGAGCATCCAGTGCCTGGTTCACAGAATGGTGCTGGTGCTCTCACTGTGTCCTCATGTGGTAGAAGGGACAAACAGATCCCTTGGGCCTCTTTTATGAGGCTCTGATCCTGTTCGTGAGGCCCCACCCTCATCACCTAATCACCTCCCAAGGCCCTACTCCTGACACCCTTGCTTTGGGAGCTAGGTTTTCAACTTGTAAATGTGAGGGGGGCACAAGCATACATAGTCCGCAGCTCCAGAAGATAGTGACCTTTTGTGGCAGCTCTTCCAGAGGCTCACCAAGTATTTTTTCTCCATAAAACATCAATGAGATTTAAAACACCAGAGATTCCAATTGCAATATTCTATTAAAGACCTATATTCATTCAGTCTGTACTTTAATAACTGTGTTTTGAGCACGTGTGGGTAAGATACAGTCCTTGCTTCGAAGGAATTCAGAATCCAGAGTTGGAGATAGAGGAATTAATCATGGGAGAAACCAACAGACTGTGCAGTGAGAGAACATCAGGAAACCCTGACTGATGGGCTAACAGTTAGGACCGTAAGGATAAAAAGAGCATAACCATGTGATTAGCAGGAGGAAAGAGTGTTCCAAGTGAAGGGGCTGGAACAGATGATTAGGCCACAGACCACAGTGGGCAAGGTGAGGTTGGAGAATAGGCATGGTCATTCAGAGCCTTTTAAGCCATGGCAAAACATTGATTTTATCCAAAGGACCTTGGTTAGTCTTTGCTGGATTCTAATCTGGGAAATAATGTAGTCAGTGTCACTGTAGAGAGTCTCTCTATTCCCAGACACAGAACAAGAAGCCGCTGTCAGATCCCTGATACAGGTGATAAGGGCAGATGGCCGTCCACTTTGGAGAGTGCTCGAAGATACCAGCGTCTCTCCTCCTTTCCCCTTAGAAGGCTGGGGCAGCAGAGGGAGGACGGGGCTGAGATAGCTGTGCTCTGCGTAGGTTGCTGTGGGAACACAGGCCTCCGGAGATGAGTCTGGGGTGATGATTGATGTCAGCCATGTAAACAAGGTAAGAGGAAGACTTCAAGGCAAGAAGGAGCAAAGTAGAGGAAATTCAGAGGTTAAGGCATGCATAATATGTAAATAAAAAGTGGTTTGCTGCGGTGAGAACCTGACGTGTGCAGGCAGGAGAAGGGAGAGGAACGGAAGACTTGAGTAACACAGTGAAGGGCAGAAGAGCTGACTATGGGCAAGGAGTGTGTGCTTTGTCCAGAGGACAGTGAGGAGAAGCCATTGAAGGGTTTTTGGTAGATGTGGGAGATGTCATTAGAGATCAATGTAAAAGAATCATTCAGGAAGGAGTGCAGAAAACCTAATTGGAGGAGTTAAGATTATAAGCAGGGAAGTAAATTCTGAGGCTAGACCACTATTCCAGGTATTGGAAGGTGACATGAACAAAGTAGTAGCAGTTGTGCTGCTAGTCACAGGGATACTTAGAAGAGTGAATTGGCAGGTCCTGGTAAAGAATGAGTTGGGAGCTGAGGGAATGAGAGGAGTCCAGAGTGACGCACACCGTGCCTCTGCCTTTCCAGTGGTTGCTTGGGCAACCTCTTCAATGACTTTGGCTTTGAGTAAACCAAAACCAGCAAAAGAAGAGCAAGTACATCAGAAAGAGGATGTATGTCCTATTAGAAATTTTTAGATGAATTACCTTTGGACATCCAAAAGGAGGAATTTAATTAAGGAGTGTTGGAGTCTTTGGCCTGGCACTCGTGAGGGAGAAATGGCCAGAGATAACACTGCATCTGGACATCCTCAGCACAAGATGGTAACTGGGACCATGAGAAGAGGGTGGGATGATCCAAGGGCGGATAAAGGGTAAGAAAAGGTCAAAGACAGAACTGTAGAAGATTTCGGATACTTAAGGGACAAGCAAAGGAGGGGAACGAGTCAGAAAAGGGGCAGGGAAATCAAGGGAGTATAGTGTTTTAGAAACAAAAGAAAGAGAACAAATGAGGAAGAAATGGTGAAGTGATGTAAAATGCAAAAAGAAATAGGCCCTTTGTTGTTAACAAAGAAAATATCATTTCTCACAGTGGGACCAGCTGCAGTAGAAAAGGGCAGGCAGGATGCACGTTGCACTGGGGTAAGAAAGAACTAGACCCAGACAGTCGGGAAGCTTCTTTCCCCAGACTTGGTCTTACTGAAAGAAAGGGCACAAATGTCTTTTGTTACACTATGTGTTCTGACTTTGTGCTTTGAGAGTATGGTCACCATACTTCTGGGCAGCCTATGAATCCAAAGAATGATTATGGAGAGGGGAAGGGGGCATTCCAAGGATACTGTCTGCAGTTAAGATTAAGTAATAAGCTCTGAAAAAAATCTCCATCGACTCTTGATTTTTTTTTAATTTACAAATGAGATTCTAGCTATGGCAAAGAAGAGGGAACCTATAACCTATGTCTATGTTTATGGATGAGCTTCCATTTTATAGCGCTCAGGGCTCTATGTTTAATCTCTGTAGCAGCCTATAAGGTAGACAGTATCAGCACCAGTTGCAAAAGAATAAATTGGCTCCAAGAGGTTTCGTGTGTCTCATCACCCAGCTGGTACATGGTGAATCACTTTATGATGGCTGTAACCATATTTTCTTCATCCTACCCAATGGGACTCTGACAGCAAGAATTTCTCCTGTGAGACAGGATATATTAGCCTGGGGCTTGTGAGAGAGAGGGAGAGTGATCCACTTGGGATCATAGTTAATATGTGATTCCTTAGCGGGAAGAGGGCAGGTTGCCATTTGAGAAAGAATTGATAAAACATGCAAAATGAAACAAAGTCCAAACCAAAAAAGGCATCATGCAAGGTTAAAATTATGTGAATAATGATGTGCATTAGTTATTTTAATGTCTTCCAAGTGCATTTCATTTTGAATGATATACTCAGATAACGCACGGTAAGGTATAATTGAAAAAACATGTAAGAAAAAGGCTGAATTCAAAGGATAAACATGCAGCTGAGAGGAGGTCAGGAGTCAAAGGGATAAGCATACCCCATCCCCCAGGGACCTCATTAGTGCAAGAGTGACCATATATGTAGAGGCTAAATGAATCTCACTGTTTGCAAAGACCTGCAGTAAATGAGACAATGACAAATCAATAGTAATTAGGACTATAGGTTCTTATTGACCCAGATGTCTGAAACCAAATGCTCCTCTCTGAGATTCCTTGAGAGGCAGAATGAAAAGATTTATAGATGTGTGCTTTAAGGGAAAAAAAAAATCCTTTTGCTCTAAGAGCTGTGATACTACTGTGAAATGGAAATTTGCTAGAATTGGTGCAGACTCTTGACTTCTGGCTAGCGAAGATGTTCTCCAGGCTTGTGTTGTGAATGTCATTCTTGTGGGACCAGAAGCAGAGAGAGCTGGGGGATAGAAAACCAGGGGGTGATCCTATTCTACCCCAATATGTTGTTCTTGCCCCCCGCCGAAGGCATGGGAGGGTTTTTTCCTAAAAACCACAGTAGACTCATTCTACAACAGTTGGAATGTTGGGTTTTGATGAATAATCTCTGACCTGATGTCTTCCATCAGGGGTACAGATGCATCTGGATGGATTTAAATTTGGACTCAGTCTTGTCTTTTCACCTCTTTGAGCATCCTCTGTAAAGGGCTTTGGCGATACCCCTCATCTGATGGTGGTAGAAAGCCTGGTAGATACTCAGGGAGTGGCAGCCGACATTGCTGTGGTTGCCGAGCCTTTTCCCAGTAATACCTTATTCCTCCTAATAGGAGCTGGGGCAGAAGAATTTTTACAGATGGGAATGAGGTGTTACAACAAGAAGCAGCGGACCGCTAGTAGGTAGGGTGCCTGCGTCTCTGACATTTCAACACTCTCCCGCTCCCCCAGCAGTTTTGCTTTTCTATGCTGTTCATACTGAATTTCTGTATAAAATTTGTGTTTAATAAAGGAATTCCAGTGGTAATGGGGAGCAAAGAGAGTTTATAGACCACAGCTCTGCTTGTTTTTTTCTTACACTGAGTTTAGAAAACTTTGAACAACTTCACAAGAGCCATAGGGGCACTCCTGGCATCACAAACTAGAAGCAGAAATCACTGAGCATCATTTTCAAAACATTTTTAAAATTCAAAGAATAAATAATATCTTCAGCATCTCAAATACTAACCGTCCATGGACATTGATTTCCTATGCTTTTTTCCTGCCATTATTCAATCTGTGTTTTAAATCTTTAAAGAGAAGTCCCAAGGACCCAGATGCCAACCTCTGAAACACCCACTTTCTTTTGGAATCTTTGGTTCAGAACTTGTAGAAGGCTAAGCAGCTTTAACCTTGGCACCATGCAGTAAGATCTAACACAGGGAGATAGGTATTATGAAATCTAACTTAAGAACGGGAAAATTGGAGTTCAGAGAGGTTAAATTGCTGACCCACATTACCTGGCTAGAACAGGAAGAACCAAGATCTGACCCCAGCAGTGTCCCCAGGCCCATCATCTCTTCCTGTCTTCTCACCTGAGCATATGAAGAATGAGGGAACGGATCTGACACCCTCATTCTACACGTGAAGAGACTGGGTTAAAAAGGAGAAAGAACTTACTGTGTTATTTGGTGGGTTTTAGCGGGAAATCGAGTCTCTAATCCCTGATCCTAATTCCTTTCCTAGTATTTATTCACTTCCTTCGGCAAACTCCCAAACCTGGGAACTTACACCTGTCTGCATCTGCCCTTTCTTCATTGTAATCACATCAGGAACACTGATGTCACCCAGGGTTTATGTAGGTACAGTGTCGTACTATTACAGAATACTGTATCTTCACTTACGTAATCTTTCATCTTCATGATAATCCTGTGAGATAAGTTGGACAGAGATCATGGTGTCTGTTCTTACAGATGAGAAGAGGGTAGTTCAGGGAGTTGGAATAACTTCCTTAGGGTCATACCTCCTTCCTACCAGGAGGAAAGCTGTTCCTGGATCCAATATTCCAACTCCACACCTTTTCCCTTCCCACTAGGACACAGCACCCTTTCTTGGTGACAGTGCAGTGTGAGGCAAGAGTACAGTAAATGGCTTTCTCTGGGCATGGGGCAGTTTATTTGCCGAAGCTTTTGAGATCCTTCTTACTTGCCTGGGGTTTCTTTCTACAGAAAAATTTGCTCCTCAACCCTAACCCCCCCTTTCAAAAATAAAATAAAATCCCCTTCTCTTCCAGATGCCAGAGCGTATATGCGTATTTGAACAGTCACCTGGATCTGATTAAGAAGGCCCAGCCTGTGGGTTTCCTCACTGTTGATTTACATGTTTGGCCAGATTTCCATGGCAACCGGTCTCCCTTAGCAGATCTGACACTAAAGGGCATGGTAAGTAACAGCCAGTCCTTGCTCATGGGTGAAGGCAGGCCAAAGGGCCCAGAGTCTGGGAGAAGCAGAGTGAGGAGAAAGGAGAAATGAAACAGGCCACCAGCCTGCTAGCTCTTTGGGGAGGTGTTGCTGTTGGGAAGGTGGCTGCTGCTCCCCACGGTGACTGCTGGACGTTTTCATGGTTTCTTGGCCAACCTGCAGAGCGTTGAAAGCAGTGCTTCCTGTGTTCTGCTGCTGTTCCTTCTGTGTCCCGTGCAGGGGCAGAGGGTGGAGAGTCCTGCCTACGTAATCTGTGTATTTACCTCCGTTCATAAAGCTGTGTTTCCCCACTGCATCTTCAGGTTGCCCAGTCAATCAGTAGTAAGTATTACCACCCATAGTTTAGCTGGCCATGGCTACACGCCTGCCCAAGCTCTGCGTCAGGGCTGTTCAAAGTCTAAACTATTTAGGAGTTCAGATCAAACTCTGGTGAAGTAAATATCATTCATAACATAGAAGACAAATTGTGCTTTTAGTAACCTTTAAGCCCACTTTCACTGTGGAGATTCTGGGCCTTCCTGGAGCAGGCCAAGAATGAACTAGGCAGGAAAGGTCACGGCCTCCTAAGCTGAGAGAGGATCCCAATGACCAGGCGAGACTGGGTGTCTGGAAGCAGCATGGCCATCGAGAATCATGCTTAAGGATGGGTGAAGTGGGTTACAACCAGAGAAGGGACCAGAGAAGAGCCCAGGCAAGGCTGCAGATAAGATATAAGCCGCAAATGCAGACTCCAGGAAGATGTCAAGGAGTTAGGAAGTAGAGTGTTGGGTAAATTAAGGTGGGGAATTCATAATGGAGGCTACATGATAGTGGAGCAGGCCGCTGGCTTCGGAAACTTGAAAACTTAAACTACTACCATATTGTGATTAATTTTACAAAGATTGTTTTAATTTTTTTTTTTTTTTTTTGAGACAGAGTCTCACCCTGTCACCCTGGGTAGAGTACCATGGCATCACAGTTCACAGCAACCTCAAACTCCTGGGCTCAAGCAATCCTCTTCCCTTAGCCTCCCGAGTAGCTGGGACTACAGCTGCCCACCACAGTGCCCAGCTACTTTTTCTATTTTTAGTAGAGATGGGGTCTCACTCTTGCACAGGCTAGTCTCAAACTCCGGAGATCAAGGAATCCTCCCACCTCAGCCTCCCAGAGTGCTAGGATTACAAGCTTAAGCCACTGCACCTGGGCAGTTTTAAATATTTTTGTGATGTCAACGGGAGGACCTGAGGTTTATTTTCATTCCTTCTTGACATGATCTAGTTCTGCTAATAGAAGGGGGTCATGGTGAAAAGAAAAGAAAACTGGACATAAGAAAAGTCATGTTTTTCCATGAAATGTGCCTACACAACAAATAGTGAACTTGGCCTCCTTAATGACCTATGGAAGCAGAAGGGCAACGTCCAGAGAGGACCACATGGCAGCAGGCTGTAGCCAGAAAGCCACGCTTCCTGATAACCAGCTTCATATGCTAACAGAGGGGAGGGGACGAACACAAGTGGCACAGAAAGGAGGGTCTTGATTAGAGACAAACATCTGAAGCCAAATACAGTTAAGCTCTTAAAATGTTAAACAAGTTAAGAAACTTGATCAGTCCTTAAAATGACCTCAAAACAAAGCTGAGTTACACGGTAGAATAAATGATCATGGCTCTGGAGTCACAGAGACCTGGGGCCTTCCCTGGGCAGATCTGCCTTTAGTCCCCAGCGTGTCAACCTCAATGTCAACCAGTGGCTTTTGTCTGTTTCTTAACCTTGCCAACCTGTGCTGATTTAACCCCATCCCCGAATTCCTCAGCAATTTTAACATTACTTTGCTTACTCATTGTTATTTTCTATTGTCTAAGAATATCTCTTTTCGGTAATACTCAGCGTGCGTCAGCAATAATAAGTGAGTGGATTTACTGGGCTGCCCAGGTTAAGCCACCATTAATGAAACCAGATTTCTGGTTTCTAGAAATATAGGAGAAGAACTGGTTTTCCTGTTCTCGTGGCCTGACAATGACCTAAGAATTACCATTGTGAGGATATTCTAATAAAGTTGACCCAAATGCAGAATGTACTTCCCAATCAATGAAATGTTCAGCGGCATGCCTGTCCCATGAGAATAAGTATATACTCATCATAAGAGATTTCTTACATGGGGACATGCACCCAGTTGTATCTCAAATCCTATTACATTTATTTTTTGAAAACATCTTGTTTTATAAACGTACCTCATAAATCCCTTTGTCGCGACCCGTCGGGCTCCTGTGGCCCTGGTCTCTGTTAGCGCAGGAAGGAACCAGGCAAGAAGCGGATTAGAAGTACAAGCTTGTGGAAGGCAGGCTAGCCCTTACTTTCCGGGTAGCCCCGAGCAACCTCTGCACCAGCCTTTTATTGAGCCAGAACAACACAGGTGAGGGGAGAAATTAACAGTGACTACGTGCTGAGGGCACAGGCTCCTTCCACAAGGAACTCCTGAGGAGGAATGGCCGGAGGTCCACACCTCAGCTGCAGATCATCTTGCTCGGATGTTGGCGTCTCCTACATATCTTGATACTTCTTAGCAGTGACTTCACTTTGTAACTGTCCGTGGGTTAGCCTCACAGTGAAATAGCTATCCCTCCATGAGTTTGTACCACGACAATGGAGGGAGAGGTGATCTAGGAAGGCAACTGTGGGCTTCAAAGCTTCACCCCAAATCTCTTTCCTTCAATTCAGTTTTAGATAACGTGAAAATTCTCCTGTTATCATGGTGCATCCTTTTTCTAGAAGCTGTAATGACTCTTGTCTCCAGCACTGATCCAGCACTAATGTGGTGCCTACTGTGTGCCAAGCACTGCTGCAGGTACAGGAAGGTACATCAGTTCTCACACTCACAGGGCATGTTGAAGGAGGTGGGCGCAATGCTCAACAAAATGTTAATAGCAACCAGAATTGTCAGGATAATCCCATCAGGCAAGGTTCATGTACAGTTTCTTCTTTGGGCTCCTAAAACATTTCCCTGGGTACATAATAAGCGCTAACTATGTACATACCAATAATTTATAGGCAACATGGAGATAGTCAAGAGGTCATTTAGTGCTTTAGAAAAATAAACTTGTGAATGACATACTAATATTAGATGGATTCGATGGTTACTGGCTCTTACTGTCCATATGGTAAGTATTTAATACCATTATTAATGTTCAAGTAAATTATGTTCATAAGCTCCAATTGTGTCATAATTATGAGTACATTTGTTCATCAGACAAATACAGGAATCAACACACACAATTCCTAACTAGAGAAATACCACTCTTTCTCTCTTGGGCAGGCAGAATGTACAAACAGGCAGTGAAAATGGCATCTAGCTCCAAATGTCACTCACTGTCCAGGGCTCTCTCAGTGCATGGAAGATGGTTATCCAGCCTGATCTCAGTGGTCAGGAGAGGCCTTAAGCAGGAGATGACAGGAACACTCAATGAGGCAGGGAAGAAATTTGGGGCCGAGGGAATCACCGTCTGTGCTGTGCTCTGGAGCAGGGTGAGGGCTCAGCGTGTGAATGTCTACAACTTCAGCTCCTATGTCAGTGTCTGACTGATGATATCCCGCCTTTAGCATTCTGTCTTGGTAATAAAAAAGAAAATGTTATCTCGGGGAACCAATGAATGTTCCCTTACTCCTTCTGTTTCAGTGTCACTGCACTCTCCCCTTCTCCACTCCCCCCTCTCTCCTCTTACCTTTGGGAAATATTCGTTCATTTGCTATGCTGTTATTGACACTTGCTATGTGCAGGCCTGTGTTAAATGCAGGGAATGTGAAGGAAAGAAAATGAAGAAAAGGAAGAGAGGAGAAGAGGGGAGAGGAGAGGGGGAAGGTGAGAGGAGAAGGGGGGCGGAGAGAGGAGAGAACCTGCCCCAAGTTTACATAAAAATAGGGGAGATAATTATTATGCATCATATATGTGTGAGAGAACGTGTGTACATAATCATTTTACAGTGTGATCCCTATGATAATCTGTGCAAGCTGAAGGAGACAGTCACTGTCAGACTTGGAATTATTTTGTATGGCACGTGGCTAGCACACCTGGATGCAGCCTTTCTCTACTTTGCCCAAAATATCTGTGAAAATGCACAAAAGGCATAAACTCATGCTAGCTTTGGAAATTAGAATGATACTCAACTAGGAAAATTAGGACTGACCTTCCCACTGGGAATCTGGGAATGTTTTCCAGATTCTAAAATACTAACTTGTTTAATAAACATAATCTGTGACACAAGAACCAAGTCCAGCCTTGAAAAAGTTTGTACTTCTCCACCTTCTGCTCACTACCTAAAAACACAGGTTCTTTTAAGCCTAAAAACAGGGCAGCCATCCCTCTGTGTACTGCTGAAGGCTGAGTTGGGGGTTTCTTTCTTTCTTTGTTTTTTTGTGAGCAGCCAATGAGTTTAATTTCCTAGACCTCCTGTTCTCACACACATGACCCAGCCCCTGCCTTCTCCTTCACTTCAGTTCATTTGACAACTGCCACGTGGACAGGAGGTATGAGTTAGGACCAACCGTGATACCTTGTATTCTAAGCATCCCAAGTAAATTCTGTTAATGGGAAAGAGGTAGGAAAAACCTGGGTAGTTCTGTGAATTGGGGGAAAGATAGTTTCACACTGTGTCCCAGGGCTAGGAAGTCGGGTAGAAGCGGTCTGCCTCAGTCCAACAAGGCTACACAAAATACCACTACACTCTAATAATCAGCGTTGAGCTGTAGATCTGAAGGGCAAACCCAAGTGCGCAGTGAGTGGTACTGTATTCTGGGAAATACTGAATATGTATAGATCCCCAGTTAGAGGAATTTTTTTTTAAAATAATAAAGTGAGTTTCCTTAGGCAAAGATCGCATTCAAAATAAAGGAAGACAATTTGAAATGCTTACATCAAACTAATTAATACAGCTTTCAGCTCATCAACACATTGTACCCCACAAACGCATAAGTGTATTCACGATCTAT